CTTGAGCCCAGGAGTTGGAAGTTGCTGTGAGCTGAGATGCCACGGCACTCTACCCAGGGGGACAGCTTGAGGCTCCTGTCTCAAAAAAAAAAAAAGCTTTTTGTCTTTTAGCCTAATTCTGTTTCTATTGTAATCCATCAGAAAGAAAAAAATCGTTTTGAATTTATGAAGTTATTTATCTAAGAATTAAAACTAGAAATATTTGTCAAAAAACAAGCGTAATGGTTAATTTTGACACAAACACTTGATGAAATATTCCGCAGGCTTTATTTTTATAAGTTTGAAATAACAATTCTTCTGACAGAAAGTAAAATAAGATACTATGTAGGTAGTTATGACTCTTTGCCTTGAGGAGAAATAAATGTATACTAACAGAGAAGGTAAAAGTTTCCAAGAATTCAAGGGTATCTCACAGAACTGAAGGGAGGGCAGAAGATGTCTTTCTGGAATTTATATGCTAATTATGTATTTATAAAACAAATTCTGTACATGCAGAATTTTTAAAAAGAAATAAAATAACAGTAATTCTAATAGTAGGGTTTTTTTTTCTACTTTTCTGTATTTGATGAGGTTAAACTTTATTAAATGCTACCAATCAGTAATGATATAATGGCTTTTAATTAACTGTTAGTGTTTTGTGTAGAATATTGTTTCTATAGCATATCTTCATTCATTACATAATTTTCCATTCTTAAATATTCTTATTTAAATCTAATATACACTCAGCGCCTGTGGCTTAAGTGGCTAAGACGCCAGCCACGTACACCTAAGGTGGTGGGTTCGAATCCAGCCTGGGCCCACCAAAAACAACAATGACGGCTGCAACCAAAAAATAGCCGGGCGTTTTGGCATGGTCCCAGCTACTTGGGAGGCTGAGGCAGGAGACTCCCTTGAGCCCAGGAGTTGGAGGTTATGAGCTGTGACGCCACAGCACTCTACCCAGGGGGATAGCTTGAGGCTCTGTCTCAAAAAAAAAAAATCTAATATAACTCAGAACTGAACGTGCCTTTTATATGAAATCATCAGTTCTTAGAATACATAAACTATATTGACAACTCTGACTAGACTTAATTCTTAACTCTGGTTATATCCTTCACTTGTTTTAACTCCATTTTCAGTTGGGTAACAAAAGTATTATGTTCAAGTTTTTTCACAGTCATATATGCACAGAATTTATGTATATAAATTACAATTTTGTAAATACGAGAAGTCAAGCCAGGTGCAGTGGCTCACTAGCACTCTGGGAGGCTGAAGCGCGTATATTGCCTGAGCTCAGGAGTTCAAGACCAGTCTAAGCTAGAGTGAGACCCTGTCTCTAAAATAACTAGCCAGGCCTTATAGAGGGCACCTGTAGTCCCAGCTACTAGGAAGGCTTGAGGCAAGAGGATCTCTTCAGCCCAAGAGTTTGTGGTTGCTATGAGCTATGATGGCAGGACACTCTGCTAAGAGCGACAAAGTAAGACTTTTGTCTCAAAAAAAAAAAGTAAATAAATATAAAAAGTCATACTTTAAATAGATATAGATAGATTGTATGTATAATCTATCATAGGACAATAACTCTAGGGTAAGTTTCACTTTGACTTTTACATTCTATCCTATCCAGCACATATTTGTTCTGCGAGAGCGCCCTGAAACAGTGTTAATAGATCTCATTCAGAGGACAAAGGATGCAGTAAGAGAGCTGGACAATCTACAGTATCGAAAGATGAAGAAACTCCTTTTCCAGGAGGCACATAATGGACCAGCAGTAGAAGCACAGGAAGAAGAAGAGGTAATACCTAAGAAATGACTCAAATATTGTGTTGTCTTTATTAGTTTCTTTCCTTACACAACTTGCCCTACGAAGGGTTTATCTTCTATATCCATGGTTTCCCCAGGTTGTATTATTTTTTTTAACACTGGTTCTGTAAGATCCCAGTTAGAAAAAAAGGTCTTTGATAATGTTAAATTGCATGCTCTAAAACAGTGGTCCCCAACCTTTTTGTCACTGGGGACCAGTTTCATGGAAGATAGTTTTTCCAAGGATCATGGGGTGAGGAATGTAAGAGGATGGTTTTGGGAGCTGCGCCTGTGGCTCAGTGAGTAGGGTGCTGGCCCCATATACCAAGGGTGCCAGGTTCAAGCCTGGTCCCAGCCGAACTGCAACAGCAACAACAAAAAAATAGCCAGGTGTTGTGTTGGGCGCCTGTAGTCCCAGCTACTCAGGAGGCTGAGGCAAGAGAATCGCCTAAGCCTAAGAGCTGGAGGTTGCTGTGAGCTGTTATGCTACAGCACTCTACTGAAGGCAACAAAGTGAGACTCTGTCTCTTAAAAAAAAAAAAAAGAGGTTGGTTTTGGGATGATTCAAGCGCATTACATCTCCACCTCAGATCATCAGGCTTTAGATTCTCATAAGGAATATGGGACCTATATTCCTTGCATGCAGTTTAGGTATGGTTCATACTCCTGTTGAGAATCTAATGCCACCAGTTACCTGACAAGAGCCAGAGATCAGGCTGTGATGCCAGGAATCGGTAGGGCTATATGATTCTTTGCCCACTGCTCACCTTCTGTGTGGCCAGGTTCCTAAAAGCCACAGACCTAGTACCTGTCTGTAGCCAGAGGTTTGGGAACTGAATCTCTAACCCCAAACTTTTTTTTTTGTTTGTTTAAAGCCCAAACTCTTTATGAAGGACACTGGATAGCAAAGGTTCTGAGAAGTCTTTTATTAAAGAAATCTCGATGGGTGTGGGACTCATTCCTGTAATCCCAGCACTTAGGAGGCTGAGGCAGGTGGATTGCCTGAGCTCACATGTTCAAAACCAGCCTTAGCCAGAGTGAGACCTTGTCTCTAAAAATATCTAGGCGTTGTGGACGGGCACCTATAGTCCCAGCTACTTGGGAGGCTAAAGAGAATCACTTAATCCCAGGAGTTTGAGGTTGCTGTGAGCTATGACACCAAGGCACTCTACCAAGGGTAACAAAGTGAAACTGTCTCAAAAAAAAAAAGAAAGAAAGAAAGAAAGAAAAGAAATCACTTTAACTCTATGTAATCTAGCCCCTCTCAGATTTCTTGGCCACTGAGTCTTTTTGATGGGTGTCCAGTTCCATGGGATATGCTTTTGGAAGTTCTTGAAATTACTGACTCAAAAAGCTGACTGTATTCACAAGTTATTAGAAAGTCACTAGACATTCTGTGGTGTCACCAAGGAAACTTGAGTTCATCCTATCTGTTCTAAAAACACCCATATTACAGGTAAGGAAAGAAGGCTTAGTTAACTAATTCATTGTAGATAGAGCCACATAGTTTAAGTTCATATCTCTTTCAGTCTTAAGAGCAATTATTTTTGTGTTGCCAATTAGGGAAATACTCATTTGCAATAGAAGTATTGTAGACCATTCTCACAATGAAATACACATATAAAGTGTATTATGTGGGAAGGTATCTTTTTTTTTCAATAGTTTACCTTGACCTTGTCAGAATTTCAAATCTTTGATTCTTTTCTATTGCTTTCCAGTTGTCCACTTTGCATTCTAAAACCATGAACAATAGTTTTATATTCTTTTTGATAGCTCTAAATAATTAGTGAACTGTAAAATACAAGTCTTTTTCATTTTTAATGATAATTATTAGAACTAAAACATTAGAATTGTGAAATGTATAAAGTACTTTAATGAAGTTATGAAATTAATAAAATTCTATGTAGTTAAATCTTTAACAACATCTCTCTTAGGATAGGGATATAGAAGAGTCCCTGTATATATAATATATATGTGTCTATATTTATTAAATTTTGCATATTTTATAGAATTCCGGTATGGCAAAACTACTGTAATGTTGGTATTCAGATACCATGGCTGCCTGGTTACATCAGGAAAACATACTTGTGATTCTGATTGGATGTATATATATTATAATACATATATTATATATATATATATATAGACAGGAATTAATATTAAATTATTTGAGGGTAGAAAGATAATCTAGAGATTGTATTTTCAGGAAGAAAGAAGAATGTATAAAAAGTTTCTATAGTGAATAACAACCAAAAGGAGTTCTTACAGTATTTTTTTAGAATGAGGGGTTTGTATTAACTATGAGAATTATTGAGAAATGAGCAGCGTGTGTGTGTGTGTGTGTCTGTGTATGCTGTGTTCATTTGCTGCTCATGGGATGTGTTGTAGAAATGGTTTCCACAAATGTCAAGCAGTTTAGAGAAGTCAATGTATTTTGGAAATTAATCAGCTGGCTATTTTTAGAGAATTGGTTGAGTGTTTTTTGTTACTTACTTGTTAGTCATTTGCGGTTCTTTTTTTTCTATAAACAAGTAGTTGATAAATTTCCTGGTCTTGGCATAAAAAGGGAATTTTTCATAATTTTTTAACTTTCTAATGACTTTAAACCAGGTGATTGGGCTAGGCGTTTATCACTAAGAGTTCAAAAGAAAATATAGATATTTGAACCTAATGCTCTTTTCCCTTAGGAACAAGATCATGGTGTTGGCCGGACAGGAACAGTGAATAGTGTTGGAAGTAATCAGTCTATTCCCAGTATGTCCATCAGTGCCAGCAGCCAAAGCAGTAGTGTTAACAGTCTTCCAGATGCCTCAGATGACAAGAGTGAGCTAGACATGATGGAAGGAGACCACACAGTGATGTCTAACAGTTCTGTCATCCATTTAAAACCTGTGAGTATTTGGATTTCAATGAAAAAATTTCAACTTGGTAACTTTTCTTTATCTGATTAGAGAAAGAGAGGGTTTTTTTTTTTTTTTT